GATATGGGGGCCAGATCGCGGAGGACCAGCGCCCTGAGAGGGGAGGCGTTGACAAGTGTCCGAAGGGGGAAGGGGGGGAGGAGGGCGGGGATGACCGGCCGAGCTCACGCTGGCCGGGCAGAGCTGCGGCCCGCCTTTTGCCCCGAGTGCACAACGCCCGGCCAACGGACACGGGCCGGCGGGCGAGGGGATCTGCGCGATCAACAGAGACGCAAAAAAAAAAAAAGCCCCCCATCGGCGGGATGGGTTGGGCCGGTGTGACTTTGCCTCCGGAACCCGACCAGCGCCGATTGCGCCGTTCGCCCGGCGCCCGAGGTCAGGTTGGCCAGTGCGGCCGGCTGGTCCTGGTTTCTTGCGCGCTCCTCGCGCGCGTGCATGTCCCCGCCCGCCGGGCGCAGTTGGCAGGTGGGGATGCCATTTCCCCCAGCGGTCTGGCCAGGACGCCAGGCGGGCGGGCAGGCGGGCAGGCGGGCGGGGGGGGGAGCGAGGGCTCCGGGCAGGGACAATAACATGGCGCTCCCGAGAGAATGCATCCGCATCTACGGGCTCACCAGGGCACACGGGAGACACAGCACAGACATACGCGCTTGCGCTTGTGCACGGCGCAGGGATGGGGGGGGGGGGGGGGGGCCCCACAGCCGACGGGCTGACTGGCATGGGCCCGGTGGCCGAACTGCGGATGGCGGGAATGCCAGCGTATTTTTGACTGACCTGTGTGATATTGGCCCACATATGTGTGGCCTTGTGGCGCCCTGCTGTGTCGCCCCCCGGGGGACCGGGGCCGAGATCCATCCTGCACCGATTGCCCGGCTCCCTCCTCCTCCCGCTGGCGGCTGTGTCTCCATCCGTCCCCTGCCTCCCCTCTCGCCTGCCGCCCCCCATCCCCCGGCGCCCTCCTCCCCGCCCGTGTCGTCGCAGCGACCACTCCCCTTCGCTTCCTCCCTCTTCCCCTTCCCCTAGCCGCCAATGGATCTCCCAAGCCCGCCGCCAGCCCTGATTGCCTCGACCGCTGTGGCGGTGGTCGCCAGTCTGACTTCGGTCTTCCTCATGCTGCGCCTGCGGTCGCTTTCCTCCGAGCCGTCGGCCCCGAAGATCGAGCCTCACGACGAGGAGCTGGCCGTGCAGCTGGAGCAGGCCATCCAGGCCAAGGAGAAGGCCGAGCAGCTGCGCCGCGAGGAGCGAACTGGCCGCATCAAGGCCGAGCAGGTGCGTCGTCGAGCCGCCGGGCTCGGCCGCCGTGCCAGGCTCGGCCACCGTGCCGGGCTCGGCCGCCATTCTGGCTTCCCCGCTCTCCCCCCTCGCCCACGCCCTCGCGCGCGCTCTCTCTCTCTCTCTCTCTCTTTCCCCCATGCCACTTGCACTCCTACTCATGCTTGCACGCTCGTGCGCCTCCTCGCGTCCTCTCCCCCCCCCCTCCTATCGCTGCTTCACCCCAGGCCCTCCGGTCGCTGCAGTCGGTGTCCAAGCTCCAGGGCTCCTCGGCTGACGCCGACGCCTCGGCCAGCGACACCGGCGCCGTCACGCTGGCCCCGGTGGAGGGTGCCGCCGGGACCCGGCCCCCGACGGACATGCTCTTGCGGCCGATCGGCCATCTGCACTCGGTGTTCAAGACGCGCAATGGCACCCCCCGGCAGGGGCTGGTGGTGACCCGGGCCCGGGCCACCTTGCGTCTGGACAAGTCCCTGAAGCTGGACGGCCGCTATGCCTTCGATGGGATTGAGCGTATGTGGCGTGCCTTTTCGGTGGCAGGGACAGGCGAGGGTTGCTCCCTCCTCTTTTGTTTTCCTTTCTCTTTTTCCGCCTGCTGCTGCCGGGGGGGGGGGGGGGGGGGTTTTTTTTTTTTTTCCGGGGGGGGGGGGTTTTTTTTTTCTTTTTCCTTTTTTTTCCCCCCCCGCCCCCACCCCCCCCCTTTTTCCCCCCCCCCCTCCCCCCCCCCCCCCCCCCCCCCCCCTCACACACACACACAC